TATTATTAATTAATTGACACACTTGTAATAACATGTTTACTTTTATAATAATAAATGGTGGCCATTTTATTTACATTATTATTTTTTTCCACTCATACTTATAAGCTAGCAAATTATTTATATATATAGTATTTATATATATAGTATTATTTTCAACTGAGAATTTATTTAATAATGCATCTCTAACTATTGCTAAACAATGATTTTGGGGATAATATTTGTTAATATTATTAATAATTCAGTAAGTCAAATATTAGAACAGTATGAGCAAAAATTCACAAATTAATTTAAAAAGTAGCGTCTTATGTTTTATAGATAGAATGTCAAAAGAAATCTGCTAACATAATAATAGAATCTGCGAACAGTACATGATAACAGAAACCGCGGAGTAAAATCTATCATTTTATAATTATATAAATGATATTTTTATTTAAATTACGAAATGCAATTTTAAATGAATAGGCAACTTAAATGAATATGCTGAAATTCCCTAGAAACATAGAAAAAGATGAGAAACCTGAATATCGATAATGTTCAGACTTGTTATAGACCATATAGAATCATCGAGCGCATGACATGTGCTCTCTACTTTTTTCAACAACGACTGACCATTGTCAGACGCGTATGTAGACATGTGTCGGTTAAACTGTTAAGAAAAATTGTACAGAAGAGTCTACAGAAAAGGAAGTTAGAAACGATTCAAAATCCCATTGTGAGTTTTCCGATTAAATTGTATTCTATTGACCGACCTAATTTCCATTCTGATTTCCCCTGCGTCAATATAATGCCAGAGATGGAGCATACGAATGGTGACGGGGAGGGTCATCAAGTTGAATATTTGGAGACGCCCATCAAATCGGAGAACGATAAAAAAGAATACAGGTAAGGCAGAGTCAAGTATTCCTTCGATTGAATTAAACATTTTTTCGATTGAAATAGAGAGGAACATGATTTAATGCAATTTTTTTTAGAAACGTTACTTTTTATTAAGGAAGGATTAGGTTTATATGATAAACTTATTGATTTGTTATATTATTATTGTGTGTTTTGTCTTCCTAATGTAGAGTCATCAAATTATCGAATGGTTTAACGGCTTTGTTAATATCCGATATACATTCAAAAACTTGTGCTTCTCAGGATCAAGATGATCAGGATAAAGGTAAGACATCTGATAATATAACTTGTTGCGCCAATTTATTAAAAATAAGATGTTATGTACTCTGATAGCAAAATTTGTGGAGACTAATTTTGAGCAGAGTCTGCTACCATCTTTTTATTGCAGAAAGACAATAAATTATACATAGAGTTTATACAAACATTGTTATAAAACTGCCCAAAATTATGACAAGTTTGCTGACATGCTATGCAGCAAATTGATAACAGAAATTGAACAGTCTATTGCATAACCTGCAGTAGAGTGCAAGCAGAACCAAGCAGAACCTGTTGACATAACTTGATTATAGATTGATAGCAGAAATTGAGCAAAATCTGTCTTTTTTTATATACAGTCATGAGATGAACTTACTTCTCATAAGAAGAAAACGTCCAGGAGTCTTATAAGAATTAGTGTATGTAAATCGAATAGGCAAATCTCTTAGAGATTTCTCAAGTTCTTTCAGAGTGTATTTTTTGAATCTCCGAATATTTTTTTGATTATTTTCGCATGTTTACTTTGAAATTTGAAGCTAATCAATAATATTTTAGCAACAAAATTATTGATTGTTTTCAGTTTTCACACAAATATATATAAATATATAATTGTGTATAATTATATATAATCCTTTACATATGCAAAATTTCTTATAAGAAATTAAGTTGATTTAAATGAAAATGACAGATTTTGTTTGGTTTCTACTGTCAATTTGCCATCAGATTATATCAGTAGATTCTGCTCGGTTTCTGCTCGCAATCTGCTGTCAAATTATGTCAGCAGACTGCTTGGTTTTTGGTCAGCAATTGCTGGTAAAACATGTCAATAGGTTTTGACAACGAATCCATAGCCAAACTGCGGACACAAATGGTTATGATTTTGGAGTTAAAATCTCTTTTTTTGATTAAGTTTACTACCAATTTGCAAACAAATTGCTAACATTTTGCTATCAGGATATGTAATGATAATGAAAAAAGATGTGTGTATATACAAGGCATATTCGGAAAGATTACAACATTTTACAAAAATCGAAAAATGAATATTTATTAATAAAACTTATATGGCATATTACAATACACAAATAAAGCATTATTTTTTCAAGTAATCGCCATTTAGTTCCAAGCATTTGGTGAACCGTGGTATTAACATTTGTATTCCTGTGTCACTCGTTTCTGTCGCCAACTTTCTTGACCATTCACACACGGCATTCTTCATCTTTTTGTTAGTAGAAAAACGTTTCCCTTTCAGATCGATCATTTTGCCTCCAATTTTATGACTCCAGGTTAATTTATTAATGAGAGATACTGCGAGACCCTCAAAAAGTTTCGACAGGTCATACAAAATAAGAGAGGGCGGCTGACAAAGGATACATATCTGTTGCATGACAACGCTCGGCTCCACATCACGCGCAAAACAATCGATCTCGGGTACATTCTGTTTCACGCATGATGTGCATACTGCATTGTTTATCCTTGTTTCAACAACATTCAATGAACAACAAGGATAAAACAGAATGCACTCCTCAACAGTTTTGGGATATTCTGAACCGTCCTGCCCATAGCTCTGATCTAGCACCAAATAACTTTTTTCTTTTCACCATGTTGAAAGAACACATGGGTAGGAAACGTTTTTCTACTGACAAGAGAAGAATGTATGAATGATCAAAGGAGGTGGCGGCGAGATATATAATATAGGTATAATAAAAGTTGATACGACTCAAATGCTTGGAACTGAATGGCGATTACGTGGAAAAATAGTGCTTTACTTGTATAATATGTTATATAAATTTTATTAATAAATATTCATTTTTCGATTTTTGTAAAATGTAACTTTCCGAATATGCCTTGTATATATACAGGGTGCATCATCAAAATCCGGACAAATTTCAATTTGAATTTTCCGCTATATTGTGCCTCCGCCAGAGATTGTTGGCGTCCGAGAAAGCCTGATGCTTCTAGTAAACAGTCATATTCTCAAAATGACCGTGATGTTGAAACCAAGTGCAGAGTATAATCGAAAAGCCGTGATTATCAAAGGCTTTCGCGCTGGGCGCTCAGCAAATAATTCGGTTCTTTGGATACCCGAGATCAATGGCTTATGATGTTGTGGCAAGATATATGCTTTAGAACAGTCCAACAGAGGTTTCAGTATGCCAGCGAGGAAAAATCAATCGAAAGAACGCATCGCGAGGACTCCTACAGTTGTTGAAAGAGCTCAAGTGCTGATATCGAATGATCCAGGGCAATCATTGCATCGAAAATTAGCATCGATTGTTGGTGTAAGTGAGCCAATAATGCGTCGAATTGCCGAGAAGGACCTTTGATACAAATCGTACACATTAAAGATACGACAGATACTCTCTGAGGCTGCCAGGATAAGCCGAATTGCTCGCCTCGGCTCCCATTTTGGCCTCCCAACAGCCCAGATAATCCCTTGGACTACTATGTATGGAGCGTAGTTGAAAGGACACAAACAAGTCTCGGCATCCCAATGTGACGTCATATTAAGGACCACTATTGAAGCAGCATTCGTCGGCATGGACAGCGTTACATTACAGCGTGCGTGTGAACGCTTCAGAAAATAGAGATCGTCATTCAAGCTAATGGAAGATATATAATTGTGCTCTACAAGGATTCCCCAAGTGCCATGTAAAAGAATTTTTTGTAATATTTAATTTTTCATTAAAACCATTTTGTTTAAAGAAATTATTCGATTTGTCCGGATTTTGGTGATACACCCTGTGTATATGTGTGCATGTGTGTGTACACACACACACACACACACACACACACACACACACACACACACACACACACACACACACATATATATATACACGAGGCATATTCGGAAAGTAAGGTTACAACATTTTACAAAAATTGAAAAAGAATATTTATTAATAAAACTTATATGACATATTATACAAGTAAAGCACTATTTACACACACACACACACACACACACACACACACACACACACACACAAATAATTATCTGTATTTATAAAGTTTATTTTGAATATTAATATAGAATCTATCGAAGATGAAACTGAGGATGAGGAAAGTAGCGAAGAGAATGGAGAAAATAATGAAGACGAAGATGAAGGTGATATAAGCGATGACTACGATGAAGAAGATGGTTCTTCAGTTAAACGAGTTAAGAGAGATGAAAAAAAGGTATGAATAAGACATTTTAAGATTGTTGCAGTTTAGGATATACTTTTAGTGCAATTACATATAATCATAAAAAATTTGTTGTAATTTAATTTGTTGTCGAAAAATCTAAAATTATGAAAAAGATTTCCTCGAGGCTTAATATTATCAATTTTATTAAGAATTTTCGTTTGAAATATTTTATCTACAAAAGAGTCTACAGATTCATTTAGAAATATTTATATATCTCAATTTAAAATTGTTTACCTATTATTCCATTGATTGTGTTTAATTCTCTATTTAACATCCTGTATACAATGTGTGATGTGCAAATATATTTTTTAAACAGGCTGCATGTGGTCTATGTGTGGGAGTAGGCAGTTTCAGTGATCCATCAGAGGTTCAAGGCATGGCACATTTTCTTGAACATATGGTTTTCATGGGATCTGAAAAATATCCTCAAGTATTAAAACATGATACATGTATGAATTTGCTATAAAATTCAATTATTATTATCTAAATGTGTATTGTCTTGTAGGAAAACGATTTTGATGCGTTTATCAGTAAGCGTGGTGGCTTTACCAATGCTTCAACGGATTGCGAGCATACCACATTTTACTTCGATATCCAGGAGAAACACTTGTCGTCAGCTCTCGATCGTTTTGCTCAATTTTTTATTAAACCCTTGATGAAGAAAGATGCCATCACGCGGGAGCGAGAGGCCGTAGAAAGCGGTATATAAATCATAATCGTAATACTGTTACTGCCACTTGCAGTCTTGATATGCCATACTTATATAGAATTTCAGTTGGCCTTACCTTGTGACGAGAACAGAAAGGAACAACTGTTTTCTTCTTTCGCGCAAACTGGTCATCCAGCCAACAAATTTATTTGGGGCAATTTAATAACATTGCGCGATAATGTACATGATGATAAATTATACGAAGAACTACACAAATTTAGAGAGCGCCATTACAGCGCTCACAGAATGAAATTAGCTATACAGGTAACATCGTTAAAATTGACGAGAACTGTTGATTACTTATCAAATAGTTAATTCATAACATAATACTTTTTTTTCTAGGCAAGACTACCGCTGGATACGTTGGAAAAATATGTCATAACGTACTTTGCTGATGTACCAAATAATGGACTGCCTCCTGATGACTTTACCGCATTTAAAGACGGTGTTTCTTTTGATACTCCCGCTTTCCGAAAAATGTATAAAGTTAAACCTTTTAAAGATGTTAGCCAAGTACGTAACTTGAATAGATTCAAAAAAAATTATTTTTATACTGAATAAATATATTAAATCGTGAAAATTGTTTTTTTACAGCTGGAACTAACATGGGCAATGCCTTCGTTACTTCATTTATACAAAAGTAAACCACACCAATATATCTCATGGATTATTGGGCATGAAGGAAAAGGTTCCTTAATTAGTTATTTACGAAAAAAAATGTGGAGTCTCGATATATTCAGTGGTAGCACTGAAAGTGGTTTCGAACACAGCTCCATGTATGCGTTATTAAAGATTACTATAATACTCTCCTATGAAGGACAACAACATCTGGAGGAAGTTCTAGATGCGATATTTTCCTTTATCAATTTATTGAAGAAGGAGGGTCCACAAAAAAGAATTTACGATGAAATTTATCAGATTGAAGAAAATAATTTTAGGTAAACCAATTGTAGAAATAAATAGATGTACGAAACCGATGTGATTGAAAGAGAATAATAAATGTATAAGACACTACTTATACTTGGAGACTTTTTTAGATTTGCCGATGAAGAGGATCCAGCGGATTATGTTGAAGATTTGTGTGAGAGTATGCACTTTTATCCGTCGCGCGATTATATAACTGGAAACGAGCTTTACTCTGAATATAATCCAGAAGCTATACAAAAATGTTTGGATTATTTAGTGCCAGAGACTGTAAATATCATGATTTTCAACGAAGATTTTGATTGTCACGAATTAAATAAAGTCGAGCCATGGTTCCAAACCAAGTATACAGACATCGAGATATCAAAGGAATGGATCGAACGCTGGAAATCTATCGAGCCATTGCCAGATTTTCATTTACCATTAGAGAATACATTCCTTACCAGCGACTTTTCTTTAATACCGTTACCAGTGGAAGTTCCGAAATATCCTGTAAAATTATATTCTAATACTCTGTCAGAGATTTGGTATCGGCCGGATCCAAAGTTTCGTTTGCCAGAATGTTATATGAATTTTCATTTTGTTTCTCCTCTGGGACTTCAATCGCCAGAGAAGTAAGTAACATGTAAAATTACATTACAATAATAGTGCTCACTCTATATACTAATATCTTATAATTATTAAATTACTTGTAATTATCAATATTATGATTTTTATTATGATAATGATTTATGTTTATTAAAAAAACTTTCACATTAATGACATTTCAGTGCAGCTCTCATGGAAATGTACTGCAATGTACTAAAACTGCTATTGATTGAAGAATTATATCCTGCTATAGCGGCTGGATTTAATTATAACATCAGTGTTAGTGAGAAAGGTATCACAATAAAAATGAATGGATTTAACGAAAAACTGCCAGTAAGTCATTCAGCGTGCGTTGGAATTGTAAATATAATTTCGAGGTGTATCAATTTATTTATATTGCAGCTCTTGTTGATGGCTATTGCAAAATACATGGTGGAGTATCCAACCCTTGTTACAAAGGATTTATTTGAAATTGTGAAAGTGCAACAACTTAAAACATATTACAATACGTTTATAAAACCTGGGAAGCTCGTTAGGTATTGGCTATTTATTATCAAACATAATTATCAAGTAATAATTATAAAGTTTTTATTTAATTGAAAGAATGAATTATATTATTTACATCCTGCTTATTAATCAATTTTTTTTATGTATATATATATATATATATATA